AAAAAAAAAAAAAAAAAAAAAGAGAACATGGGGATGTCTCTGAGTTAAGCATGCAATCAGTAGCCCCAAGACTAGGATGCTTTTCATATTTGACTTTAAAGACCTCTTTGTAGAGGCAGTGGGTGAGGCGGCACTGTTCAATTAGGAAATACATGCCCCACTTTGAAAGGTCTTTTTGCAGGCCCAAGGTGATTAATTTTGTTGGGCACCAAAAGAAGGAATGTTCATTTCTTGGGTTGTTCCAGTTCCACCTGCAAATGATGCTTGGGCAGGAGTTAGCAGGAGTGGGAACCCATACATATGAGAAAACATTACCGGGTACCCAAACTGGAAGAGAACCTTAATCAAATGGATTTTTCAACACATTCAATTTGAAATGTTTTTGGTAGCCATATCATTTTTTTGTCTTCCCCATACCACTGTATCTTAAATTCTGTTTAACTGGTAGTCATTCTCTAGAACTTAATGTAATAAATATTTTCTCAAGTATGCAAGTATACCTTGCACGCTTCTATACAGAAACATTCCATAGATGATAGATTTGTTACATAATTGTTTCAGCGCATTTAGAAATTGATTTGATGACTATGTGTCATGTTATTATGTAATTTAGATAACATGACTCAACTTAGTTGAAGGGTTTGATTTCAAGTCAGTCCTTAACCAGTAGTGAAGCAAAAACATAATTTTTAAAAATTTCCAATTACAAACGTAATACTTAAAGTCTCCATAAAACTTTATTTTTAACTGAACTGGCAAGTAACGTTTAATCTATGTATATTAAGCCACATAGCTTGTAGTGATTATATTCTCATGAAACTATGCAAATATTTCTTGGGCAGACATGAGAATACAATGAACAGAGATCAATTCTAAAAAAAAATCTTTAAGGTTCTCTTTAGAAAGAAACTTTCTCAAAGAACTTAACTATACTAAGGTAGACAGGAAATCTCTTTCTTGCTTAAGCAAAATTCATACTTCTGAAACATCAGAAAGTGATGCAACAGAGTATGTGACCCAATGTGAAATAATCACAACCACTGTCTGACTATTTCACGTTAGGTCACATACTGCATATGTAAGGGTGTCTGAATCTTAAATATCAAATCCAAGTTTATTGATTTCCCACAGTTAATTCTGGGAACCATATCCAGAAGAATGCACCACAGGAAAGCCACAACTTCTTACTTCTCCCTATCCTGGGAAATGGGGTGATACGAACAAAGGGATGCCTTTTCTAGCCCTCAATCTTTTAGCTGGCAATGAACCACCTCTGAACCTCTTTCTTGTTTTGGCCACCTTCCCCCACCCCAGGTTGGTGGGTTCCGGAATCTCAGCTCCCTATGGTGGCTCCAACCTTGCGAAGCGAGGCTGAGGCTAACACCAAGACGGGCTTGCATCAGCTGCCTGGTCCTCGTCCTCTAAGAATTAACACTGGAACTCAAAGGAAAGGGGGAGGATTAATGTAAAGAAAGCACTTTTCAAACACTAGGCAGAGGGTCCTCGACTCTTTGCCTTACTATTAGGCAAGAGTTTACCCGCACGTGCACAGGTACACACAGACATTCAAACCCCACAGTGGTGCCTTTCTGCCTTTTCAGCTGAGGATGAACCCAAGGAATTGCCCAAGGAGGGCAAATGTGTTAGGTGAACTACGACATAAATAACTTTGATCTGGATTAACTGTGTATTGTTTTAGGGACTCTGACATACATATCTCCAAGATTAATAATGGTTGCTGGGGTTGGCAGAAGTTCAGGCATCAGATTATTCCTTTAATTATAACAATCATCTTCCTACTTACCCTCACTCTATCTTCACGTACCCCAATAAATATCTGCAATTTATAACGAAAATATCAGGAGGAGAAAGGGTGAACAAAAACATACTAGAAAGAATTGTTTCCTGAGAGTTTATGGCCTGGTCATGAGCGAGAGAACAAACATTATAATAATGAATCCGAATAATCAACTAATCCTTATTATCACCCATTTCTAATAGGAAAAATCCTATGCACACCTATTTCTCATAATACACCATTCCTTACAATCTTTATCTTTACTCTGGTTAATGTAAGTTTCCTCTCTAACTAATGTAACTGTGTACCCTTCGTTGGCCCAGGACAGTCGGGGTTGCTTATTAATGGTTAGTGACACCTGCTGTCTGTGTATAATCATTAATAAGCATGTCCTAGTTTAGACATTAAGTGTCCCGGTTTGGACAATAAATTATATGGTCACCCTAACTATAAATGAACTCTCTGACAGGCAATCAGGTGGCCGTTTTAGTGTTTGCCGTGCTGTCCCATTTTTATGTTGACCATTCCCAGTCCTCTAAACAACCAAATGGTCTAAGCAAAAGCTGCTGTCATGCATGCAGGCTTTTTAGCAATGGCCTGCGATTTGGCTTTTCTTTGAGGGCCTAAAGATAATAGCACTAAGATCAGCCTTGCAAAGATAACTTTGCCCTGGCCGGGAGCGGTGGCTCACGCCTGTAATCCTAGCTCTCTGGGAGGCCGAGGTGGGCGGATTGTTTGAGCTTAGGAGTTCAAAAGCAGCCTGAGCAAGAGGGAGACCCCGTCTCTACTAAAATTAGAAAGAAATTAACTGGACAACTAAAAATATATAGAAAAAATTAGCCAGTCGTGGTGGCACATGCCTGTAGTCCCAGCTACTCGGGAGGCTGAGGCAGGAGGATCGCTTGAGCCCAGGTGTTTGAGGTTGCTGTGAGCTAGGCTGACGCCACGGCACTCTAGCCCGGGCAACACAGTGAGACTCTGTCTCAAAAAAAAAAAAAAAAAAAAAAAGATGACTTTGCCCAAGTGTATTCTGTTTCTTCCGTGGTTGTCGAGTCATGGAAGGGTAGAGGTGGAAGGCCCTTCAAGAAGTTTTCAGCTTTCATTTGGGGGAGGGGGGTGAGTGGTAAAGGAACAGTAGAACCTTTTCCCCCTTGAAATCTTGTTTAAGACCCTACTGCATAAAATCAAGGAAAGCAAAGCTTCCTTGGTGGAACCAGGAGGTAAAGGCCCAGATGCACAGTCTTACCCACTAGAAGACTTCCTTCTCCCTTGCCCCTCCCTCAAGGAGGCCCCTAAGCTGGCTCCAAGGAACATAGCCTGAAAAATACTGGTCAAGTCTAATTCCCTGAGGATACTCAGGTTCATTTCTTCCACTCCTGGTCACATATTACAATTTCTTTTTCTATACTGGTAATCCTACAAACATAGTCATGAGTCAAAAGCAGTGTGGTCCACATTAATTGTCATAGAAAGCTGTCTTCTGAACAGCTCTGAGTATACCTTATAACAAGGAAACATTTGTTCATAGGTATTAAATGCTTTTTTCGACTGTTACTAGGCTCAAACATAGTCACTCAAAACAATCGAATATACCTGTGTGTGTATATTTCTTTCTCTAGAGGGGAAGTAGAATGAGAACTAAAAGGAGTATGGTTGTATTATACCCACTTTTAAAATTAAGATTACAGAGTGAACACACATCCCACTTCTAAGAATAGCTACCAAAGAAACCAGTAAAAAGAATAATAATGATATATGAGGATGTTCATCATAGTATTGTTTAGTAACTCTGAAATGTACACGTATAAGGACAAAGAATGGTAGAGAAGAGACAAGAGAGAAAGAAAAGACTTACAGAGCCAACGGAATTCTGGTGATTCATTTTTCTACCTTTCCCAAGCTTTCTTTTACAATGAAACCGAACAAAACAAAAACACGGAATACAAATAGTGCTTACCACTGAGACTTTGCTCACTACATCTCTTGCAACCGCTAAGCCTTGAGCAAAAGTACGGGCTGCTACAAATGCACGAGTAACCTGCAGCTTCAATTTCCGAGGGACGTCTCCAAAGGGCTTCAGCTGCTCGGTATACTTGCTCACACATTCCAGATACTCATCTGTAAAGTGGTACTGGGAGTTCACCAGGCGGAACATCCGCTCCAGAAGGCGAGCCCAGAAGTCATTTAGCATTTCTTCCAGGTTCACGTTTCCCGCCACGTAGTAGCGCTTCAACTCTACGAAGAGATCTTTAAATAGCTCAGAATTTTGCATGTATAAATGGCCATATGTCTTCACAAACATATCATTCAGGGATTTCTCTGCATTTTCAAGTAGCTCTTTGAAGAATTCTAAAAAAGAAAGAAAGAAAAATGAAAGAAAGGGTTTTTAGTAATTAAATAATGTACTGCTTTTCGGGTAAATCCAAAAACTAAAGACAGTGACAACTAAATTGGAAAACATGCCTGTATATAGGATGAATTTCTCTTGGGGAATTTGGCATCTCAGATAATGTGTCAATGAAAGGAAGCCTATATCACAAAGTCACTTATATAGGTAACTAAGTCTGAGAAAGGGGGAAAAATGAAATTTCAAACCAACAACTTCCCAGGAATCAGTACAACACATACACATTCTCTCTCTCTCCCTCTCTCTCCCTCCCTTCCTCCCTCTCTTTCCCTCTCTCTCATTGTATCATTAGGTGAATAAGGAAGAACTAGACAAAAATGGGCATATGAAGTCTAAAACAGGTTTCTTAGAACTTTTTATTGCAAGAATATAAGTCCAAGTTATTCATGCCCCCTAACTGTAACCTAAGACAAAGACAGGTATTTTCAAAAGTTGCAATTTTACTTGGGCATGATTTTTTTTCTTTTGTTGTTGTTGTTATTGATTTAATTAAACATATTCTCTTTTTTGTTTTGCATTTATTTATTTATTCACTTACTTACTTACAGCATATTTCTTTTCTGCTTTTTACTTATCTACATGGCATGCATAATAACTGCCTGGAAAATGACTGAAGCCAAGAAACATAACGAAACACCCCTAGAAGCAAGCACATAAGTTTTTTGAAAATAAATCCCTGGGTTTTCCCTGTGACATTAGCACAGATTGGGGGTATCCGAGTTGACCTTAGGTTCATAAAGGATTCATACAGTAACATTATAAGACTCTTTTTAGCGTCCCTTCTGTGTGTGTGTGTGAGAGAGAGAGAGAAAGAGAGAGAGAATATATGCATAACTGACTCAACCATAAATGTGGCATATTTGTAAGACAACATGGAAAAATAACTGAAAAATACAAATGAGAATACCTTGTCACTTTGGATTTAGTTTTTGGCCACCACATAGCCACAGCCGAAGTGTGAAAGATTTTAATCTCTTAAGTACAAATGACAAATTAGTTTTCTCCTGAAGCTTTTCTCAGGAACTTCAATGAAAAGAGGAGTTAACAGTGCATCTGTAACATTAATCATTCTTAAAGAATCTCTTGCCTAGTATAAAAATAAACACCTCATGATATCACGTTTATAAGCAGGAAATATAATAAATACCAAAGCAAAATATAAGGACCACATCAAATAAGAAACTGCCTCTATGTAAATACGGAGCAGAAAATATGATGCCTGCTTCAAAGCCAGAACACTGGCGAACTTATCAAAACGCAATAGTGCTACAAAACCATTCTCTTCTCGTGTTGGGTGGGCAAATCAGAGGCTGAAAATTAATTCCAAATAGTTTTTCAAAACCTACACTGAGTAAACTAAAGCCTTTTGGAGGGAGATGGCTGTGTGTGGCTTTCCTTACATGCCAAGAGTTTCTACACCTATCTATACCTATTCCTCTCGGCCCCTAACTCATCACTATGTGGTTCCTTGAGGCTTAGGGCTAAAATCCATAGTTCTCCCTGGTTCCAGCTTTTCAAACACTGTGTGTGTGTGTATTTGTTTCTCTTCTCCTTTTGTCTAGGTGTTCCTCCTGCTACTGCTTGCCTTTTATTTACTGGGCTTTCTTTAGAGAAAGAAAGGGAAATGGATTCCCTCTGCAGAGTAAATAAACAGGCAGGTAAACTCATCCCCACCCATTACAAGTGCATGGTCTGGCATTTTTGCCGAAGTTCTCTCTCTGAAAGAGAGAGGCGGCAAGAAGTGCACAAAGAGCTAGGGAAACAACAAGAGAAGCACTCAAATCAGCTACCTAGGAAGGCTTTTTATTCTCCCCCAAATCCTCTGAGCAGTTCTCGAAGTGCGGGCCTGGGACCAGTATGCATTAGCATCACCTGGGCACTTGTTAGACATGCGAATTCTCGGTCCCACCCCAGACTTACAGAATCAAAAACCCTGGGGCCAGGCCCAGCCATCTGTGATTCTGCTGTACCCTAAAGTTTGACAACGACTGTTCTATAGCTGCTGAAACTTCTCCCATTTCACCTGTCGGTAGCAATCACCAACAGGTCCGGGGCTGTGTTGAGTGGGAAGCAGTCACGGTAAGCATTAATGTTTTTTTAATTAGGGAAAAATGTCTTTCCAATGAAATGTGTTTTTGAAAAAATTTGCTGCATTCCTAGAAGTGATTTTTTTATTATATCTTGGGGACAAATTTTCTTGTGTGGAACCTTCTCAACTAAGTGTTAACATAGATAATTAAGTGCATGCAGCACTCTTCTAGAATTTAAAGTTGAGAAGGGACCTTAAATGTCATCTGGTCCACATCCCATACCATGCTTGAATCACTAGCATCCTTGCTAAGCTGTGCTTGCTGGTTGAGGGCATGAAAGAAGCACACGTGGGTTGTGGTATTACATGACTAGTGTATGGCACACATTAACTATCATATACTAAAAAATAAAGGCTGGTCATCATGAGAGCAACAGGAAAGCCTTGTGCCAATCCAGTGATATCAATATTTCATGACCTAAAAGAGAAGATTCTAACAGCAACCACAGGTCCTTCCCTATATTGGATTTTTATCATATTGCTCATAAAATTGGCACACATCAGAAGAAACTGGATGTTGAGAATTATTTGACTTGTACTTTAGTACTCATTTAATAAGTAATCTTCATTCCTCACTTACTTACATTTTTAACGAATGTCACCTACAATCATGTTGGTTTTGGGGGGGTGGGTAAAATGGCATGTCAAGCTTAGTTTTAATTTAAAACTTCTGAAAATGTCAAGGTTCATCCTTTAAGCTTCAAAGTATTGCAAGTCAAACAAATGCTAAGACGCTGAACATTTTGTGGAAAAAGTAAATTCTCTTAGAGATCCTCATCCAGGTTAAGAGCTTATGGGTTGATATAGCTATATATGTTAATAACATAGCTGCTTCGGAGCACAAGAGAAATGATCTAATGGAGAGAAGACTGATGTGAAGCTTACATGTCCCCGGTCCAACACCATCATGGACCTTACTTTGGTTCCCAGGACTCAAACTCTGTCTAGGAAAGTGTGTGTGTGTGTTAATTTGTATTTTAAGAGCTTAGCATGGTGCTGTATAGATACTAAATCCTAATTGATTTAATCATTCAGAAAATTTCTTTTCTTTCCTTCACATTTTAAAAGACTCTTTAATGTGACCATATAAGTTGCAAATATAAAGACCATTTGAGTGGGCATGTGGTTAATAAATGCTTGAGAAATTCTATAAAACTGATATAACAAGTTAAAACCTCACAATTTAATTTCTCCAAATGGCTATGCAACTTGACAAGTATGTACTGAGTGCCTATTATGAGCTCAAATCAAAGCACACAGTGTTTTTACCATGTATCTTAACCTTCTTCCTGCTCAATAAGACTGTAATGAAAATTTCTAGAAAGACAAATTTCTCCCATCTAATTCACCTTTACTATACACCGCCACTCTCCGCACATGGTTTTATGAGTGTGCCAGAGATTTTAAAAACATCTATAAAGTTCTTAATCCTTCATTTCATATAGCAACTTCCTAAATATTCATCTATTTAATCTATGGGAGTCAACAGAACAAAAATTAAGGGATCCAAAAGACCAAACTAATTTCTCCTTACACTAATTCTTACTGACCCTGTTAAATGGGACTATTCTACCTATGCTTTTTGCCTCAAAGGGACCTCAATAAGGACAGCAGACATAATTTAAGTTCTAAAATCCATACAAAGTAGGTACAATACCAACCGAAGCATAATAATTTGCTATTAGGAAAAAAAAAAACCTTTTGCATCTGTTCCTTCTATTAAATTAGCACCTCTCATATGTTCTTACATAATTCTTTAACATTCCCACTCCCCCTTCTCTTCCCATGACATTTCCTTCTACAATGGGGAATGGAGCACAAATTAGCCATTCAGGTCCCAGTCCACAGCCATCACTAGCAACTTCAGTAATCACTGTGATGCTCATCTCCATTTTTTTTTTCAATTATTCTCACAACCCAGGAGCAGGGTCAGATATTAACTGCTGAAGAAGAATTTATAGGCCTGAGATACCTAGCAATCATCCCTCACAATCATTATGCCAAAAACCAATTATAATACATTTGGTGGCTAAGGGAGAACCAGCCAATAACAGTATAAACCAGAGTTCACAATGGTCAGAAGCCAAGTTAATTGGAAGTTAGATCTCCCTTGCAGCGATTGCTTGTATTCATAAAAAATGCTGCTCAGGGAGTCCGTTTTGTTTTGTTTTGTTTTGTTTTTGAGATAGGGTCTCACTCTGTTGCCCAGGCTAGAGTGCAGTGGCCCAATTATAGCTCACTGCAACCTCAACTCCTATGCTCAAGCAATCCTCCTGCCACAGCCTCCTAAGTAGCTGGGACTATACGCACATGCCACCATGCCAGGCTGATTTATTTTGTGTGTGTCTAGAGACAGGGTCTCACTCTTTCTTAGGCTGGTCTCGAACTCCTGACCTCAAGCAATCCTCCCGCCTCGGCCTCCCAAAGTGCTAGGATTACAGGCGTACTCCCCACACCTGGCAGGGAGTCCATTTTAAGTTAAGTTATTGGTGTCTGAAAGAAAGTCAGAGAGGAAGCAGTCTGCAAGCATTTGAAATACGGTCTTTCAGGGTTTATTTTCCCCTCAATTTATCAGTTTGGGGGCTTAAGCATATACATATATATATTTTCTAAGGATCAAGCAGCTGCTACTCCTTGAGCTCATGAATGGTCATTTAACACAGGGATAGAAATAAACATGTAACATGCTACGAATCTAAAGCAGCATAACCCAGTGGGAAAAGCATGGGCTCTCTCCCTTAGGGGCTGTTATGACCTTGACTGGGCAAAAGGCCTAACCTCTCTGAGCCTCTGCTGCACATCCATAAAATGGGGCTATTATCACTCACCTCATATGGATAATGCCTGGTACAA